ATTGAGTAATTATTTAACATACACGAATTTTATTTGTCAAATTGGGATTTTAGGAAAATTGCAATTGGTCTTAAAGAGCACTTCACTATCCTCGAAAAACCGCAAAAACTAGTGAGGTGGCAGCAATTAAATTTATACAATAAAATGAAAACTATTCAATAGTTACTTTGAAATTTATATATACCAGCATTTTAATAATTTCTATCAAGCTCCTTCAACCTTTAATCGAAAAGAATTGACAATTAATATATGACAATTACTATGAGTAAATTTTTTTGTGTTTCAATTAATATGTCTTTTACAGTGATATTTTTCCAACTGTGATTATGTTTCATCCAATTTTGGCGGCTGGAAAGCGTTCATATAACGGGGCGTGAGCGATGAATAAAACCGGCTCAAAATTCATTCCAACTTGAATTTAGCTGGCTTACTTTGAAATGCTATCAGTTACAAAACTTATCACGCTGTTTTTAGGATGTAAGGATGAAGAAAAAAATGTCGTTTCAAGAAAAATTCATTGACTTTAAAGCATAGAAGGGATATCTAGGGCCTCACTCTGATGCAAACAACTTGGGTGTTACGACTTCGAATAAAGGATAGAATATTTGTGTGTGACTTTTTCATTCAGACAAATTTCGAAAAGAGAAAAAAAGTTTGTTATATCATCTGAAAAGTTTTTGACGACGTGAGCTCAAACTTGAAAAATTTTCCACCTGTGATCTTTTTTCGTAAAAATATGGTGGTTTCCAAATTGCCTTTGCTAATTTGGCTATTTCAAAATAGGATAATTTATGACAATTAACTGGCTACTTGGGACAATCGGCTGAGAAATCGTTCTGATCTATTTTGAGTTACGGCACGCTATTTTGGGCTAATAGGTTACTAGACGCTTGTTACATAACTCTGTTCTTTTTATATTGCGTGGTTAAAATTTTTTCAAAAATGTAAGCTGAAGAATTTTTTTTCTAAGTAAATTCAATCAGTTTTTCTATATTTTTTGAAGTTAATTTTTTCTGTGGACCTTAAAGAGCAGATGTGGAACATTCAGATTTGTCCTGACTTTAGCAGTCTTCTTCGCCCAAATTCTCAATCAATTATTAGGGTGATTTTAATTTTCGAAAAAATTTAGTTAGTTTTTGTTCCGACTTTTGATACGAAAGTAACGGATTATTTGTGCTGGGGGTCGTTTTTTTCTTAAGACAAAATTCGATTTTTTAACTGGCCATTTGTGAAGGATATTTCACCTGTGATCATTTTTCATAAAGTTATGGGGGTTTAAAGATTACCATTTTGGCCAATTTGGGACAATCAACGCGCGATGTATTTCGCGCTATTAACGCGTAAGCGGATATTTAATCCGTCTTAGAAATCGTTCCAAATTGTTTCAAGGAAGTTTATATGCCATAACTGATTTGTTAATAGGAGCAAAATCTATCACTTTGTATGGCGTGTGGGCGGATGGTTTTTATGAAAAATTTCAATATTTGGAAAAAAGTTTTCACTTTATTTTATTATTTTTAACTTTTTAATGTCATTACTGCACCATAAACCTTAAAAGGCAGTCGGAACATTAAAGGCTTCGCCCTCATATGAGCAATCTTTTTGGAATTTGTAAAGGATATATCAAAAGCTATCAAACCTGTCGAAGCATAGACAGTTTTTAAACGTCCACAGTTTTTGACATTATTTTATCCTTTTTCCAAAATTATTTTCTCGTGTTTTTGAAGAACAGGATCCGAAAAAGTTGCCATTGCCAAGTTAAAGCTTGTTTTCTAGAAGCGTTTTTTGCAAGCCAAGTTTTTATTGAATGTTCTAATTAAATATCAAAAATGAAATTATACGAACAATCACAAAGTAGTAGAAATCGGGCAAATGAAATAACCCAGAGAAAAGCCCCTTGCTCCTTGATCAAAAAATGATGCTGTGGTTTCTCTTAAGGTCATCGATTGAATTACAAATATCTACAAAAACTTTTTTTGAATCTCCATGTAATTTCATTGAAAGCGATTTTAAAAACACTTAAAAGTTGCTTAAAGTTGATTTTTCATGAAAAAAAGTATTTTCGAATTCAGCATAACTCTGCTTGCGCTGGTTAAATCTAATGTTACAGCTCTGTCTCTGCTATTGCTTTATAAAATAAAATAAAGTGTTGATTTCAAATACCCAGACCAATGAAACAAAAATTGAATTTAAAATGCGTTTTTCTTAAATTGAGCTGACTTAAAGTAAAAAAGACGCTGACAAAACTTGCTCAAAATTTGAACAGATTGAATACTGTGCAATTTCTTGTAAGAAATGGAAAATAGATTTTTTTGGGGGTAACAACATGTTTAACAGAATCATTTGATGCGCTTGTTTTTTGGCTCATATTGAATTCAAACGCCACTGCGTTCCCAGCCAACTTAGCCTGGATGTAACGAATACGCTTTAGACGGCATAGGTGCTGGGCTTGAATCTGACTCGGACCTGTTTTTTTTTATGGGAAATAATCAGTTTCAAATAAAACTTTCGGCCAACTATTGGTCTGCTGATTTACTATCGGCTTAGCTGTCATATCTTGAGATCATTTTTCTTCTGCTGCGCGCATTTTTCTTAATTTTAGCTGTTAGTGTTTGTCAGACTCGTACAATATGTAAATTTAGTTAACTTGGATTCGTATTTTTTTTTCGCTATCAAAAATTCCCCGGATCTATTTAGTTTGGCCTATTTTTCAATCACTCAATTGAAACACTTCCTTCCGAACTTTGCAAGGAGTTGTATGTTTTCCAATCGGCTTGTTGATTTTTTTTTGTTTTGTAATGTTTTCCCTTGAGTTTCAAATAAGGATATCAAACTGTGCTTGCATACGTCCCTAAAGTCCTTTTCTAATTGGCTCCTCCGTCTACCTCCTTTGAAAAGCGTGGGGGATTTTTCACCCGATTTTTTTATTTTCACAATAGCTACCCCTTCAAAACCTGCGTTTTTAGTTTAAATGATAGGAACGGTTTTGAAAAGCTCCCCTGTTTGAGCGACTACGCCCATTTCTTCTACGCATAAAGTTGTGGCTCTCGGAATAATCAGATTTTTGATTTCTGATCTTTTTATAATTTTCTTCTATTTTTTCAAAAACTAGCGTCCAAATCTGGTATTGTGGGATCAATGGAGTTAACAGGCGATGAGAATACTTACTAGACACCAAAAGTCATGGTCAACGTAAAAATTTGTTTTGCATAGTTAGCTTAAATTCCTTCTGCAAAAGCAGCTACGCCCTAATTTTTCACAAAAAATGCTATGAATATCGGAATGGGCAAGTTGTTTTTCCCTGTTGACCGTTTTTTGGACTTTTCTCCGTTTTGTTAGCCGTTTTTTGGTCTTTTCTCGCTATCCTGCCAAAACTGATATCATAGATTTAATCGGAACAACAGGTTGTTATAAGCTTGGTCTCATAATTGGCTATGCCCAGTTTGCATCAGAAAAAAGTTATGGCCTTCAAACAATTAACAAGTTTGAAATTTTAACAGGTATTTCGAAATTTTTGATTTTCTGCGGAAACGCCAATTCTCAGGTTCTGTTTAAAAGACAAGCAGAAATTTGGGAATCTTTTCTACAGAAACCACCGCAATATGCTTTTTGCAGAAGCCATTCAAGGATTTTGGAAAGTACTTTGACTGTTTTTTAGAACTTTTAGCCGGTTTTAGTAATATTTCTGAATTTTCCTTACATTAACGCAATCAAATCTGAGATAAAAAGATAATTTTAAAAAAAATAACAAAGGTTTTGAGCCAATATGCAATTTTTGAAATCATATTTTTCGTGCTGCATGAGTATAGCAAGTTCAATTAATGTCGAGCAAGTACCTCCAGGTTCAGCTGGGCCACTTGTTGATTTTTTTATCGAGACATACGAAAAGTTTGGTTCACCTAGTTTTTTCAGCTTGCAATTATTTTTCAATTTTTTTAATGGTTTTATGTTGTATCGCAAGTGCTGCAAAGCTCCGCTTCGCTTCTGTGTGAAAAATGTGCTCTCAAAAGAATAGCGCAAAAGGTTTTAAGGTAGTTCAAATTAAAATTGATAAAATTGAGAAAAAAAAAGTATATAATTAAAATTGAAAAAGTTATACGCTTCTTAAAGATTGCTGGGCGTTTTATGGAAGTCTAACTTATATACACAGGATAAAAGATGAACTTATTTAATGCTTTCTCCGCCTGTTTTATCAAATTTTAATACTTTAGGAGAGCTTGGAGAATCAAATTGGAGAATCTTTTTTTTTTCATTTTTTTCCGGATATTTAAATCAGCTTTGTACATTGTGTGCAAAAATTGTAATACTGTCAGTTGTCTAATTTTAGTACGCCGTTTTCTTGTTGTTACTTTCGTTACGAAGCTTTTCTCGCAAACAATCAGTTTGGCTTCTTTTGTGAAGAAAATCGTTTCTGAGTGTATAACAGCTTTTTGAGTAATATGTTTAATGATATTTTGTCAGATGAGAATGTACAGAAAATCTGTTGCCATAAGAATTTAGAGCTTTACAACACTTTGGAACTACTCTCGATATTGAATCAGAAATTCTAACCAGATTATGTGAGATGCTTCCGAAACTTGTCTGCCGTGCCTTTGATTTGTACCATTTACATCATTTTGCAGGCCTTCACAGTAACGAGCAACTTTTTGTCTTGCGTGTTCTCTACGAGCTTTTTATTTTTTACCCCCGACCGCATATTTACCTAAAAGTTTTTTGTTTTTTGAACTAATCAGAGCCGAGAACGACTTCTGTGCAGCACAGATAAACTTCGGAACCTTTTGAGACATGATCCAAAAACTGCGATGTTAATTTTTTTTTGTCATCGCGCAATTTAGAGTATTTCAAAACTAACAGTTTTTTTGCTGATCAAAACAGAAGACAATTAAGTTTAAATATTCTAGAGGTTGATAAAAAATGGTCGGTCAAAAAAGATTGTAAAAAACATCTAGTAGGGCGATTTGATGAAAATATTGAGTTTTGATTATCTTTTTTTTTTCAGATGAAATGCTTTTAGTTGGCATTGTCTTAGTTTCCCTTTTAAACTTTGCCGCCTTCACATTATTGTCAATTACACTTGGTTCAAAAGCCGGTTCATCTTTATGGCACATTGACACAACCAACTTGGAAGAGTTCGAAGATGACATGTTAACAGCAGGATATTGGAATTACTGTTTGGGAAATAAGAGTTATCTAGCATGTGCGCGGCTAGACGATGAAGCACTGTAAGTTTTTTAAGTTCTCGACCTTTCTCATATTGTATTTAAAAGAGTTTTGATTCTGCTAAAGAAACCAAAATTGACGGGGAACGATCAGTGGAAGGGTTTCTTGGTCGCGTTTTATTTGAAAAATCAATTGATTTTTGAGGGTGTTGATTTTGCTCCTTTGGCCAATGGAAACCCGAAGCCAGAGCCTGACTTTCAAAAGAGTTCAAACTTTTCAAAATTCAAGCTACAAACGCCCAGAGGCAAAGAAAAGGTGAGCCAAACCGAACTGCGAGGATTGGCTGTAGTCAATGGACCTAATGAGTTTTGATTTTTTAAAACCCTGGCTTGTAATTTTTGTTTTCCTCCCAGGCCTCAAATTCAGGCGCGGTTCCAACTCTGGTTTGTACATCTGAACTATTTTCTAGTGCCTCGAAAAGACCCCGAAGATATTTGCGAATACAACAACGAATGAGATTTGTTTAGTTCGGATGGCTTCGTTCCCAAAAAATTGGAATGGAAGTTCCGGGAGAGTAAATTACCAAAAAACATCATATCCTCTTGTGGTCCAGAATTGCTTACAGAACTGAGTTAGGTTCTAGGTTTAACTCATAGAGTAATTTCGGATAGGGTACACCGTCTGCTCGTGGATAGGGTACACAAATAAGTGGGTTGTTAGTTAGATGGATCGTGATTGGTTAACATTAAATATTTTATTAAATCCAATTTATAACCAAATAATAAATATAGTTTATATCTGGTTCCACCCATCCGGGGCTTACAGAGTTTTGAATCTTAGATCTTCTATCTGTAATGAAGGATGGATGTTGGTCGTTGTTATTTGGCGAGCATCATTTCCTGTTTTGTTCTTGGAGAAGAAAGCTCCAAGAAGTTGGAGTCATCGATAGGAAGTTGTTAGTTATTGTTTGACAAAGACTATGACTGTCATTGAAATCAATCTGATTTCAAGTTGGTTTGCTATGATCATCTGTTCTTGATTGGTTGTGGAGAACTGTGTTTCGATCTGGTTTGGTAATGGCGTGAAGATCGTGTTTGGAGGGGATGCCTTGTAACTCGGATCTGTACGTATACTTGAACATCGAGGTATTCTTGATTGAGACTTATGGTCGCACCAGATGAGTTAGGTTCTAGGTTTAACTCATAGAGTAATTTCGGATAGGGTACACCGTCTGCTCGTCACGCTATCTTATTTTTGGCCGGATAGATTCGTGCAACTTCTTAGTCTAATACCGATCCTAATCTTACTCTTATATCTACTAGTCTCAGGGTGTTTAACTAGTCTCTGCTAGGCTCAATAGATCTAGAGTATACCGGCTTATTGCGATTGCTAAAGTTCTCTTGGAGAGGTAACTAATTTCTAAGTTAAATTCAAATCTCTCTGGTGCTGAAATTACAACTAATTTCAGCACTTACAAATAAGAGGGTTGTTAGTTAGATGGATCGTGATTGGTTAATATTAAATATTTTATAGAGATAAAATATCCAATTTATAACCAAATAATAAATAGTTTATATCTGATTCCAGAACGCTTTTGATGATCGCATTTTGTTTGTTTTTCACATCAAATTTTTTCTCACAAATTGCTACCCGTAAAAAAATTGCTACCCGTCCTTATGGTCCTAAAACTAAATTTGTAGCACTCTGAGTAACAAAATCTATTGAAATCAAGGACGAATAAGTTTGAATGCTAACCAATTCAAAATGGCTCTATAAAAAAGCTTTCTTCATTTCTTTTTCATCCACGGAAGCTTCCAAAATATGTTTAAGTTCTTCAGACTTAGTTTGAAAAAACCACCCGTGTTGACCATCCTACAAAAAATCATCTAATAAAAAAAATCTGTTAAGAGTATTTTTTCATGATCCTATTTATTCATGTTTTTAACTCGAGGTCAAAATGGTGATCGTTTTTCCCCTAACAATCAGCAATTTTAAAAAATTTTTTAAAAATTACTCTAATGATTTTTCCAGTATAACTAGAAAGTATCTTCTGAGTTAGGTATGGAGGCCTATCTCATAGAGTAATTTCGGATAGGGTACACCGTCTGCTCTTCACGCTATCTTATTTTCGGCCGGATAGATTCGTGCAACTTCTTAGTCTAATACCGATCCTAATCTTACTCTTATTACTACTAGTCTCAGGGTGTTTAACTAGTCTCTGCTAGGCTCAATAGATCTAGAGTATACTGGTATTGTTGCGGCTGCTGAAGTACTCTGGAGAGTCAAATATTTTCTAAGTTATATTCAATTCTCTCTGGTGCTGAAATTACAAGTAATTTCAGCACTTACAAATAAGTGGGTAGTTAGTTAGATGGATTGTGATTGGTTAGTATTAAATACTTTACAGTGATTTAATATCTAAATTATGAATAATAAAATATGTAGTTTGGATTAGGTTCCACCCATCCGGGGTTTACAGAGTTTTTGAGTTTTATCTTTTTTCTTCTGTAAGTGAAAGATGGATGATGAACGTTGGTATGTGGCGAACATCATTTTCTTTTTTCCTCGTTTTCTGAAGAAGAGAGGTCCTTGACTAGAACCAATGTCTTAAGGAAGGTCCAGGACGCTGAGGTTTGTCTTCGTTGTTCAACAATGAAGGTGATCCCCAATGAATGAAATCGTTTTAGATTCCAGAATTCAAAATGCTTTGCTATGTCATTTTTGCTTGCATTTGTAGAGGGTTGATTGTGATCAATCCTAGTCTGGAGATTGCGTGAAGTTCGTGTTTGGAAGGGATGCCTTTCTTTTCGGATCTGTACGTATGCTTGAGCATCGAGGTGGTCATTGGTCTGGTTCAATGAAGTCCTTTGCTGCGAAGTCAAGTCGTACTCTAAATCCTTTGAGTTGTGATTGTGTGCGGCATGTCTGTTGTGATTGGTAGCCATTCTTTCATTCAATTGTGATGGGATCGTCTAGTCTTTGGATGTTCGTCTTTGTTGTTGTGTGTGATCTATATACTGCATATTATGATTTTACATTTTATAATTTTGTGTTAATTGTTTTTTAGTTATGATCTTGGTTAATTGTTTTCACAAAAGCTTTTTATTTTAGTTCAGTTATTTTGAAGAGTTACTCACCCTTGAGTACCTCTTATTAAAAATAAAAGTGTGGTCACAAAGCGTGATGTAGCGCGGTGGATTAGGCCGGCTATAGAGCATGCTCAGGACGTCCTCTCTGGTGGGTTAGGCCAGGAGTGGGAGTATGATTTCGTGCAGTTTCTTTGAGGGGTCCTGTTTTGTGTTAACATTATGTGGTGAGTTTTTCTGGGTTTCCTTATGTTGTTTATGGTTGTGTCCTTTTTTCAAAAATCAAATTGTTTTTGGTTTGAGTTTGTCTTTCGACTTTTTTGTGTTTTATTATTTCTTTCGTTGACTTTGTAATAGTCTTCAAAAGAATAAATTATCCAGTGTTAAGCTGGGTTAATCCGGTTTGGGTACCGTTGGTGTTCTTTTCTTATTCATGCTGTTATTTTATGATTTGTGGTGTTCAGTCATTCGCGTTGGTTAGTTTAGTATAGTGTATAATTCCATTCCAACCGGGTTAAAGGAAAGTTGGAAACTTGTTATCATTAGTTTGAGTTGTTGTTATTTTTTAGCTTGGAACATAAAATCATTATTTTAAACAATTCTTCGTGGGCGAGCTGTGCGAGTATGGATAGAATTCTTGTGCGAATGAATGAAAAGGTTAGTACTGCTTTAGCATTTTATTAATGTACTGCTTGAATTTTACTACATTTGGGGGAATTTGAAGTTATAAATTTTCATCGTATGTAAGTTTATTGCTTGGTGGGGAAAATTTTATAGAATAATTTATGACATTTGTATGAATTTTAAAACATCATATAGTGCAAAGGGTTTAGATTATTGAAATTGTTTTAGCAAAATTGTTTTAGCAAATAAATTTGATGAATTGTAGTTTCTAAAAGTTTCTATTTTTTTTTGTATTTTTTCATTTTGTAGATGATGGTGATGAGAGGGCTAGAAAAAGAAAATGAAACATTATAAAGAATGGTTAGTAACTTACTTATTTATTAGTGAATATAATTAAAATATACTTATCTAGTCTTCGGGGAAGAATCCATGGGGAAAAAGGTCTTGTATTAGTTCTGATGATGTGAGTAATTTAGCTAAAATACGAATGATATTTTTAGTTTGAAGCAGTGGCCAAAGCAATTGAAGTGCTTTGATGATATTTAGTTCTTCTGTGCCTACTGCAAACTCATGAGGTGTGTTTTGAATTAAATTATAAAGTTTATGGTTATATTTTGTGTTATGTATAAATTCAAGAATAGGGATTTCAATGGGTTGTAGGAATTCATGCGGGACGAGGAAGGGCCGGGATTCTTTGTCTTGGAAGGCGTTAATGATGGGACAGAATATATACATTTGATGAATGGGGTCATAATTACGGAGGATGCCGTGAAGGTTAGTATCTTTTATACAATAAGTGAAGTTAAGGAAAAACGGTGATGTGTATTTCGAGTTGATGAATTGAAAACGATGGTGGGGTTGTCGTGAGGGTGTTTGTAGATGGAAGTGATTTTGAATAAAACGGTAATATGTGTAAGTGTGCGTTTGTTTAGTGCGAAACATAATATCGTGGGAGCAGTGTAGATCTCGTTCCTGTGGTGTAAGAAAGTGAAAGGTTAGTGTGAATAAATCAAGGTTTTCTTGGAAGCTTTGATAGGCTTGTGTGTTAATGAGGGCTTCTGAAATGATGTGATCGTGTTGTTTGTTAAAAATATTAAGTGTGAAAATATATGGTGTTGAGATAAAAAAATTTTCGCTTAATTGTGGGTTAGCAAAGTTGTCATCATCTAAAAACTGATCGTGGTTAAGACGTATGATGTTGTGATCGTAATATTCAATAGTGAAGTTGTTAGCGCGTGGTGCGGTGTATTCGTTTAGTAGTTTTTTGAATCCTATATAAGTGAATTCTCGTATAGTTTGTGCTGTTGTTAGTTTGTACAATATATCTTTGCAATTTTCATTATCTGTTTTAG